AGGGTCTGGATATGAATATTATGTCTATAACGCACTCACATCCACCTACTTGCACCTTTGTAAGCGAAATGTTTCAATAATCATACATTCTAAATCTGATAAATGAATTGCTGGCAAAAGATCGAAAACAAAATATCGAACCGTTAAATGTCGAAAAAATAAAATTCCGAACGGATGTAAAGGGTTTGGCTCTGAGAGTGGCTATGAATAAAATAAAATATTCATAATCACAACGACACCCACACCCTCAAATAGACAACAAATAAAAAACTTCATATATTTTATATCGCAACTTTATGATTCACACACAAAAAATGTCTCATTTACATGTGACTATCTTCTTTGGTTTTATAATCATAGATACGGAAAGTTAAAATAAAGAAGATATTCTAATAAAAGAACAAAAAAAATATGGTACGAAGTACAAATTTTGTAATTAAATAATAGAATAGAAGAACCGGAGGGTGTGCATACAATCGTTTCTTCTTCAAACACACTCGCCCTTAAGAAAAAATAGACATATGAGAATTAATGTATTTAATGAACAATATTAGATATTTTCAACAGATTCTGCTTGTGAATTGCGGAGTTCGATATTGTTGTCAGGTTCAATTCGATTATTTACTGAGCAACACCAATATTTCCATCGTTGCCAACATTTTTTTACTAGAACAATTTTCACTTGGCGACGAAAACGTGATGAGAATACTATGAAGATATAAAAGTTGATCTAAAATCAAGCAAAATCTTACAACTATGAATTAGAAAAGAAAACTTATTTACAACATAATTTATAATGCTGATAGAAGTAAAAATTGCTTGAATCAATCGACCAACTGCATATGCCATAGGCATACTTTGTGATGTAGGAAAATTAATGGCATAGATGCGATAAGTAATATAAGGTAATACCAAACAAACAAAGGCTATCACACGCATAAGAACCATTGCTGTTATTTGTTTATCTAATTTACGACGAACAATTGGTAGTTGTCGTCGAATTATATGACGAACATTATGATAAGCTAAGATACTAAATGATGATGCAATTACAATAGGTAGAAGACCATCTAAAACTGGATAAAAGAAATATGTTGAATACTGAATCCATACATAATTCGATAAGACACATCCAAATGTTGGTTGAATATCATAAGAAGAGCCAAGTGCGATGCTATGAATGATTACAAAACAAATGAATATAAACGAAGTATATCGACCCAATTTCAATGTACACATTTGTCGTAAGTTGAAACGATAATTTGTCGAAAAGAATTGATCAACAGCAGAAAAACATATCATATAAAGAGTAGTAAGCGCACACATTTGTGCCAATATGTATCTGAGTTTACACCAAATTGAAGAACGTCCTGTTGCATCATCTCCATATACTGTTGTTAAAATAGTTACACTAATAGATAAAAACTGATAAATTAAGTTGGAAATTGATTCAATAGTTATATAGAATGCGCATCGATTAGTTCGAAATAGTTTCAATTGAGTAAAAACGAGAAGACTCAACACATTACCAATAACTCCAAAACTAAATATCATACAACCAGTATAAGTCGAGTATTGTGTAGCAAATTTGCGAATTCCATCAGATACGGACGACGATGACATGTTAATTTATTCAAAATGTTATATTTATTATTATTTGTGTTTTTCTTCTTTTCCTGGAAAATCTAAAACTATTTAATATGAAAAAAAATATGAAGCATCATAGCAGAAATTACTGTCACGATTAATAATAAACGTCTTTAATTACTAGTATAAAAAGATTTCTTTTTGTATCTACCTAAGTCATTCAATTCAACCTGTAGACCTTATGGAAAACTACCGGATCCGATGTCGAATTTCTCCCCCACTATTATTCATCATTTTTTGAGATATTCAAAAATTTCATCAAGATTTTTGTTAAGATTTTAAAAAGCTTCTTTTATTTTTACTCAATTTAGTCCTATAATAGCACAATATATATACCAGAATCATTTTTAGAACCTCTCAACAAATTCTCTATGATGATCTCTAGTATGGAAATGTAGTTAAAAAATGAAAAAAAGACTTTTATATGTCGCAGGCCAGTTGAGGATTTAGTTGATATAGAAATTCTCTATTATAGCGTGAATGTTGTGATAAAATAATTTACTTGGATAAATTTTTTCTGTTTTTGAGGATATGAGATTATTTGCTTGAGTATGCAATTTGAAAGGCTTCAATCGTTTTTTTTTATCTTAGTTAAGAAAATAAGATTTACACAAGATGTTTATTTTTTAATGCTTAGAAAATTGTTTGATTTTAGAAGTTTCAATATACAGAAACTATTTTTTCCTTTGAAAGAAATATTGTTGAGATTCTTTCAAATAACTGAGAGCTAATATATTGAGGATATTATTCAATTAGTAAATGAGTTTTGTACTGAAGTTATGTTTTCTTTATATGATTTGTTTTTTGTTATCTTGATTCATATATCTATCTAAAATAACTGAAAAAGAAAACAAACTATTCAACATAGTAATAAAAATCTCTAGGTTTTATAGAAAGTATATCTTGAAATCAGTACACGATAAATAAATGTTCCTAAATGAAAGGAGGGCGTGTGTGTCAGTGTGGATATTGTTTTACATTCATATCCACATCCACACCCTAAAAACTATCTCATACAGAGATTCTGAAGTATCAAGCAGATTTAGATTCTATTTTGTTGTTAGTCTGACACATTTTTTAATCATTTTCAGTTTATGAATGATATTTTCAGAAATGAAAGCTATACTGACATAAAATTTTATTAAATAAGAAGCTGAAACTTGATATGAGAACTTTTTTAAAAGTCAATACTTTCGAAATTTGTGAAATTTCGCCTTAATACTTCCATCGATAGTTCAAAATCAAGGCTGATAATGAGAACATGTGCATGCGAAGGTGAGTGAACATGAAGAATAAATTTTCATCTCCACCCCAAGTATTTTTCATTTGTCAATATATTAGCAAAGTTCGGGAATAATGAAGAAATATTGATTATCGACGAATTTGTCGTCGCCATCGTCTGAATGATTCTTGAAATGTTTTTCTGTACAATGCTGAAGGAAGGACAAAAACAATAAAGATAAGCATCGATGGAGTAAATGAAATGAAATAACCAAAAATAAACAACAATCGATGATTCGATGGATTGACACATTCCGATAACATTGACATAATTAGACGAGGTAAAGACAGAATTAGAAGAATAATCGGACTAATTAATAATTGTTTGTGTTCATTAAATTGATGATAAACATGTTCTCTTAGAGTTTGTCTTGTCTGAGCTGCTGATCGTTGTCGAGCTGATCCAAATATGATGAATAAAGCAGAACAAAGATTGATAATACATGGAGCAACAAGATGAAAAAATAGGATGATTGTATCGTATTGTTGAACAGAAGAAGAATAACGAGTTATACACCATCTGTCGATATCTCCTTTGCTCGTCTCTGTATTTATCTCGCGCAATTCTCGATATATAGGTTCGTGAATGATAGAACCCATGATACACAATGGTAAAATAAGAATTATCCATCGAGCAATCCGTTGACTATTTTGTTTATTAAATTTGATTCCTTTGAAAACGAGAATCGCTCTTTCAATAGCTACACAAGCATTAAGCCAAGCATCCATATATAGGCAGAGCTTGAGAAGTGGTTCGATCGATACACAACCTCCTCGAACAACGGAAAGACGAATCGATAGATCCATTTGAGTGAGAACAACAAACCAAAACTTCACTGTAAACATACTGATTGTTAGAAAGGAAGTAATGGATGATGCTAAGAGATAGATGCCACATCCAACTTGTCGTAGATCTTTATTTTGAAATGTTAATAGAGACAAAATACTATTGATTAAACCTCCAGCAAGCATAATCATTGTTAAAGCGGCACTGACTTTCACCGTTATTGTTTGCTCAGTTATTGTCATATTCGGTCGAATTTCGTCACGTAAAATATCATCGAGAATGACACCAATACTTTTTTTGTAGAACTGACATTTTCGACCGATGAAACAACTAGTCAGAATTTGAGCTAAAGAAAGAAATACATGGTCATCGATAAATGAGATCAATCTTTTTCAACTTAACAAAGCTATGTAGGAGTAAATTTGTAAGCAACAATAGTCTGTGAAAGTCATTTGTCTATACATGACATGTTGTGTCGAGATTAGATTTCTATACTTCTATTTTCTTTTCAATATCTCATGATGAATTTAGTCAGTTTTATATAAATGTTTCTGCATATGAACTCGATAAATTTTCAAAGATTAAAAGATAATAAAATCTCAGATAGTATGAAATCAATAAAGAATAGATCTTCTCGAATATATCGTTGATGCGAGAAGAAAAGCTGCATTAATGTACCCAACTGATTGAGCTCGTACAATCCATTTAATCACGACTGCTCTATTTTTGGACAATAATTATATTAAATTATGAGAATGCATCCTATTCCGCGATGTTGAACATTGGAGGAATCAGTTCCGCACCGGAATCGATTCCGTCCAATTCCGGGAACTCGATCGACACACAACATAAGACACCCAGTCGAGATTGATCGACTTCGACCGATTCCGGAATTGCACGGAATTCCCACCGATTCCGGAATTGCACGGAATTCCTACCGATTCCGGAATTGCGGGAATTGGTTCCGATTCCGGAATTCCGTA